TGTATTTTTAGTAGAGATGGGGTTTTACCAGGTTGGTGAGGCTGGTCTCAAACTCCCGGCCTCAAGTGATCCACCTGCCTCGGCCTCCCAAAGTGCTGGCATTATAGGCGTGAGCCACCATACCTGGCCCTGAGCAGCTTTTAGAAACTGCAGATCCCCAGGCCCACCCCAAGCCTACAGAATGGCTACATCAAGGGTGGGGGCCAGGAAGCTGTATTTTTTCACAAGTCCCCCAGGTGAAGCTGATGCCACCAGCCTGGGGACTGGTCCTCATTACAGCACATGGCCTTCCTGAGAAATTACAGGACCCTGAGTAGTTGGCAATACAGGGCAGCCATTATTGCCAGCCCCCTCCACCTCAACTGTACAGCATCAGCTTCATGACTGCGGGCTGACAGGACTGAGAGCGGGGCAGGGACCTGCCGGAAGCACTCAGGGACTCTCACTGAATCACGTGCCTCCCCTTCGGGGAAAGGCTGTGCGTCACTCCCGAGGGACCCCAGACGGAGCAGGCCTCTGGGATCGAAGGGACCAACTTCGGAGGAAGGGGGAGAGAGACAAAGCAGAAGCAAAGGTCACAAGTCATCGAGGGTGTGTTGCTTCCTCTTGTGGTTCCTGTGTGGCCCCGAAATGTCCCCGTAAGGAAGCTGATCCAACAGCTACTGACGAGGACTGTCTCCAAGCCCCCATCAGGGTGCTTGTCCTCCACACTCCAGCCTCTCTGCTCCCACACTCCAGAAAAATTGCCAGTAACTGAAATTCAAGTGGCAGCCTGGTTTGGCCACTAGAGATAATGACTGAAGAAGCTGGCAGTGTCCACAGGCTGGCTTGCTAGCCAGAGGCAGTCGCGGCTGGGTCCCCCGTCCTTCCTCAGTTTCCTCCTTTGGGAATAAACCAGCAAGCCAGCCGGTAGCCATGTCTGGCAGCTGAGCCAGGGGTCAGTTCACTAATAAGGCCGAGGTCAGAGGCCAGGCCTCAAATAAGCTCCATTCCCTCGCCCAGCCTGTAAGGTCACAGACGGGCCCTCACCATCCTGCCCGTTGGTCATAAAAGGAAGAAGCCGGAGTGTAGACAGATCAAAACAAATCCAACACCACTTGTGGAAACAGCCAATCAGGTGGATGGTGATGGATGGTGGCTCAGTAGCATCTTGGATATGAAGGACACCGCATCAGAAATGACCTCACAGCACCTAATCAGTTCCAGAAAAGGGCTTTGTTCTCCTGGAGGCAAGGTGGGAGATCAAAGCATTTCTTGCTAATCATCACTTAGTGTTAATTACTTGTTAGGTAACCCGACCCAGATCAAATACCACTCCCTACCTTGCATCCTGAGGGCCTCAGTGAGCACCCTTGATCTTTCACCCCAACCTGCATCCAATGGGAGGAAGCTGCAACCTGGGAACCCAGAGACCCCGGGCGGCCCAGGCAGTCAGTCGTTTAGTTATTTCTTCCTTTCCTGTTAACTTTTTAACCCCACCAGCCAGGAAACGCATAAACATAGCAGGGGCCTCCCTCCCCCCTCTCCCTGCCACATGTCACTGGTTCCTCACCGTGCAGTGACAGAAACCTGCACATCTGGGGTCCGACGCCTTCCTTCTCCTAAGGAAGTGGCCCGAGGGTCACTGCTGTACCTCTCCAAGCTCTCTGCTTCCTCAACTGCACCAAGGCGATAACACTCTCCATCTCCCAGCCTCATGGGAAGGGTAAAGTCAAAATAGACAAACTGCATCTGGAAGCTGCTGCGTATACTGGGGAGTGCCCAGGAGTTTCAGCTGGGCTGGGGGTCATTTATTTTCAGGGCTCGATGGTGGGCCCGGGGTATTCATTCCTCTTCTGCTTCATACCAGTTTGTGGCTCTGAAGTTATTTACTTCCTTATTTTTAAAATATTTATTTGTGACTGGGGATGGTGGCTCACGCCTGTAATCCCAGCACTTTGGGAGGCCGACGTGGGCACATCACCTGAGGTCAGGAGTTCAAGATCAGCCTGGCCAACATGGTGAAACCCCGTCTCTACTAAAAATACAAAAAAAATTGCCGGGCGTGGTGGCGGACGCCTGTAGTCCCAGCTATTCGGGAGGCTGAAGCAAGAGAATCACTTGAACCCAGGAAGCGGAGGTTGCAGTGAGCCGAGATTGTGCCACTGCACTCCAGCCTGGGTGACAAGAGCAAGACTCCATCTCAAAAAAAAAAAAAAAAGTACACCTGAAGAAGATAATCAAAGAATTATGCAGAAGAGCACTGCTCGATAGAAATAACAGAAGTACGTACGGTAAGCCAGGCACTGTGGCTCACGCCTGTAATCACAACACTTTGGGAGACGGAGGCAGGCGGCTTGCTTGAGCTCAGGAGTTCAGCCTTGGCAACATGGCAAAACCCCATCTCTACCAAAAATATAAAAAACTAGCCAGGCATGATGGCACATGCCTGTGGTCCCAGCTACTTGGGAGGCTGAGGTGGGAGGATCGCTTGATCCAGGGAGGCAGAGGTTGCAGTGACCTATGATTGCACCACTGCACTCCAGCCTGGGCAACAGAGTTAAGACTCTAAATAAATGAATGAATGAATGAATGAAATAGAAGGTGAGCCACATAGATACTTTTGAGTTTTTTTGTTGCCACATTTGAAAAGGTAAAAACAAACAGTGAAATTAATCTGAATAATCCGTTTTGTTTCAACAATATATCAAAAATATAGTCATTTCAACTAGAGTTGCCAGATTTAGCAAATAAAACTATAGTGCATCCCCAGGCTGACGTGCAGTGGTGCCATCTCAGCTCACTGCAACCTCTACCTCCCAGGTTCAAGCGAATCTCTTGCCTCAGCCTCCTGAGTAGCTGGGATTACAGGCACGTGTTACCATGCCCAGTTAATTTTTGTATTTTTAGTAGAGACGGGGTTTCGCCATGTTGGCCAGGCTGGTCTGCAACTCCTGACCTCAGGTGATCTGCCCACCTTGGCGTCTCAAAGTGCTGGGATTACAGGTGAGAGCCATTGCACCAGGCCTATAAGTGTTTGAAATTGACCAGCCTGCCCAACATGGTGAAACCCTGTCTCTACTAAAAATACAAAAAATCAGTCGGGCATGGTGGCGGGTGCCTGTAATCCCAGCTACTCGGGAGACTGAGGCAGGAAAATCGTTTGAACCCGGGAGGCGGAGGTTGCAGTGAGCCAAGATCACGCCACTGCACTCCAGCCTGGGCGACAAGAGCAAAACTCGGTCTCAAAAAAAAAAAAAAAGTGTTTGAAATCTGTTACAGTACACTTTTTTTCTTTCTTTCTCTTTTTTTTTGAGACAGGGTCTCATTCTATTGCCCAGACTGGAGTGCAGTGGTGTAATCACAGCTCACTGCAGCCTCAAGCTCCTGGGCTCAAGCGATCCTCCTGCTTAAGCCTCCCAAAGAGCTGGGACTACAGGCATGCACTATCATGCCTGGCCTTTTTTTTTTTTTTTTTTTTTTTAGAGGGGGTTCCCCCGTTTTACCCGGGAGGATTTTTTTTTTTTTTTGGTAGAGATGAGGTCTCATTATGTTACCCAGGTTGATCTTGAACTCCTGGGTTCAGGTGATCCTCCCCGCTCAGCTTCTGGAGTAGCTGGAACAACAGGCATAAGCCACCATGTCTGGCTTCAGTGTTTTTTATAATAGCCAAAAAAAAAATCAGAAATTAACAAAATACCTCTTGGGGCTACTGAAGTCACAAATAATATTTAGAGCGTGCTAACCTCAGGACAGCCCTTGTCTGAAGGGTTTTGCATGTCTTATCTCATTTAGTTCTGACAACCACTGAAGAAAGTCTTGGTATAACCCATTTTTATAAACAAGGAAAGTAAGGCTCAGGACAGTATGTAACTTGTCCAAGGAAGTGGTGAAGCTGCCTGGAGGCAGATGGATGGTAGAGAGATGACCTGATACATATGTATCCCACCTAGGACCGCCTTTGGAAGGGTGCTCACCAAAACTGTTTTCTCTGGATGGTGGACTCTGAGGTAAGCACTGGTTGAAAATTTGGCCTCTGCTGCCAAACCGACCGATCTTTGTGTACTTGGCTGTCCTAACGAGTGACTTGACCTTTTGAGGCCTCAGTTTCCTCATCTATAAAATGAGAGTCACAACTGTCTACGCCACAGAGTTGCTGAAGCATAAATAAGATAAGGGCTGTGGAGGTCCAGACAACAGCTAACTGCTCCTATGAAGTCTTCAACAATACAGCCATTATTCCTCTTCTTCGTGACCTGGTCCTTTCCCGTTTGATTAGACATTTTTATTTTATTTCATTTATTTATTTATTATTATTATTATTTTTTGGATAGAGTCTCACTTTGTAGCCCAGACTGGAGTGCAGTGGTGCAATCTCTGATCACTGCAACCTCCACCTCCCAGGTTCAAGCGATTCTCCTGCCTCAGCCTCCCAAGTAGCTGGGACCACATGCGTGCACCACTATGCTTGCATTTTTTTGTATTTTTAGTGGAGATGGGGTTGTGCCATGTTGGCCAGGCTGGTCTCGAACTCCTGACCTCAGGTGATCCACCCGCCTCCACCTCCCAAAGTGCTGAGATTACGGGCGTGAGCCACCGCCCTTGACCGATTACACATTTGTATGTTGAGCATCAATCAGTTTTACATGCTGATAAAAAGTTCCTTTCAAAAGAGGAGAAGACAGCCCATGAAGCAGCTAAAGGAAAAGGAAAACGGAAGGGAAGAAGCAAGGGAGTGAGGGAAGGAGAGTCAGAAAATCCACCTAACCACAGGAAAGGCGAGGCGTGAGCACCCCCCAGTTTTCCAAGTGACCACCAGGCGGCACTGTTCGCAGTTCCCACAGCCAGGTAAAGCAACCCCGTTTCAAAAACAAAAACACAGAACAAATCACCAAAATCCTTCATCGTCACTGGGGTGCCTTCATCTCAGGAGGCCCCAGAGCCACCAAAAAAGCCATCGCCTACAGGAGGTGGGAAGGAAGTGGGAAGCGGCCGCCCACCGCAGGCAGGCTGCGTCTTACCTTTGGAGTCTTCTTTGGCCAAGTCACCACAGGGACCCCAGTGATGGCCAGACTAGGGTCATCGTCCGCGTGCTCCTTCAGGACGTTCTATGGCCAAACAAAGCATCCATATTAGCCCAGGGGGAAGGGGAGGTCTCTGACAGGGGCTGAACAGCAGACATAGTCCAGCAAGGATCGCACTCCACAAAGTCAACGCCCGCCCATGACTCCACCACCACCCACACACTCAGTAGAAACCAAGTCACTAGGGTCCCCTGGGGCCCACAAAACATACAATGTTCCCCTCTGCCCTCTACAGATTTTTTTTAACAAAGCAAATCACACACCTCCCTGTGACTTCCACATATGTATCACCCATGATCACAGTTGTGACAGCTAGTGCTTGTCCAGAGTGTCGGTGACTCACACGCAAACTTTTTTTTTTTTTTGAGACAGAATCTTGCTGTCACCCAGGCTGGAGTGCAGTGGTACAATCATAGCTCACTACATCCTTGACCACCTGGCTCAAGTGATCCTTATGCCTCAGCCTCCTGAGTAGTTGAGACCACAGGTGCATGGCACCCTCCCCGGCTAAATTTTTTTTTTTCTTTTGAGACAGTCTTACTCTGTCACCCAGGCTGGAGTGCAATGGCGCAATATTGGCTCAAGCAACTTCTGCCTCCTGGGTTCAAGCGATTTCCCTGCCCCAGCCTCCTGAGTAGCTGTGAATGCAGGTGTGCGCCACCACACCGCACTAATTTTTGCATTTTTAGTAGAGATGGGGTTTTGCCATGTTGGCCAGGTTGGTCTCCAACTCCTGACCTCAAGTAACCCACCTGCCTTGGCCTCCCAAAGTGCTGGGATTACAGGCGTGAGCCACTGTGCCCAGCCATAATTTTTAAAAATTTTTTGTGGAGACAGGGTATATGGCATGTTGCCCAAACTTCTGGCCTCAAGGAATCCTCCCTCCTCAGCCTACCAAAATGCTGGGATTACAGGGGTAACCCACTGCACCTCATTTAATTCCTACCAAGTACTCTGGAAGGGCTGGGCAGTGGCACTACGGATCCTCTAATGTTCCCAAATTTAACGACGTACTCAGAGGAGCAAACAAAACCAACTGCCAGACCTTGACACCTTCACAGAGCCATGACTCCGTCCTTTAGTCAGCTTGCTGCATGTACACTAACCATGCTGTGTGACAATGTGTAAATGTTTTTTGCAACATGGGCCTGAAATACAAGAAGATGCTTGATCTGGTCTGACCGAGGATGCAGTCATGTGGCCAAATGGTGGCAGAAAAATGGGGTGTGTTGGACGGACTGCCAGGTTCCATGGCGATCTCCCACGAGGCACACTGTGTTCACGCTCATGAGTAGTTTGAAGGTTCTTCAAAGGGAATTCTCACGCTACCAGACTTTGGCCTTGTGTGGCTGGACTTTAGAACCTCATCCAGGTATAAGATGCTACCCAGCTGAATTATCTAACAGCCACCATAGGGGAGGTTACCGAGGCTCAGAACGGCTCACAGGACTTTAGTGCTGCCCCAGACCACGAAAACAGACCCCCGGAACCCCACTCTCTGGCACCAGACTTTCTGCCCCATGACCACCCACACAGGATTTCCTCTGGCTACATCCACACATCCACAGCACCCCACAAACAAAATGTGTTTAAATACACACGGACCGATCACTGGGCCATTCTGATCCTGGACCATGGATTGCTGAATTGTATAAAAACATTTTTTCAGGACATTTAAGAACAGAGTAAATCATACAAAAGCACTTAGCAGGAAGAGCAGAAGTGCTCAGGAGACAAACAAGGGTGAAGATTATTTGAACCCCTGGCTACAAGGGTTCAAATCCCAGCCGCGGGAACACAGAGCTTCCCCAAAGTCCCATAGTCAATGTCAATGATTTGTAAACGCTATTTATAAAGTGTCTTTATTCACTGCTGTATCCCCAAAGCCTCACATAATGACTAACCTAGAGTAAGTTTCCAATAAACAAAGTTTTTTGTTTTTTTTTTTTTTGAGATAGAGTGTTACTCTGTCACCCAGGCTGGAGTGCAGTGGCACAATCTTGGTTCACTACAATCTCTGCCTCCCAGGTTCAAGGGAGTCTCCTGCCTCAGCCTCCCAAGTAGCTAGGATTACAGGTGTGCGCCACCACCCCTGGCTAATTTTTGTTATTTTTAGTAGAGACAGGTTTTCACCATGTTGGCCAGGCTGGTCTCAAACTCCTAGCCTCAAGTGATCCGCCCACCTTGGCCTCCCAAAGTGCTGGGATTACAGGCATGAGCCACCGCACCTGGCCACAGAGTGTTTATAAAATAAAGCCACAAATACCAAAAGAGGGACATTCTACAAAATGCCTGAACAGATCTCCTCAAAACCGTCGAGGTCATCAAAACAAGTAAAGTCTAAGAAACTATGGCAGCTAAGAGAAGACTGATGAAACTAAATGTAATATTGTACCTTGGGTGGGATCCTAGAACAGAAAAAAAGACAAGTAATAACATGGTCTAACTCTGAATATAGTCTCTAGTTACAATGCATGTTATCAATATTGGTTTATTAATTATCACAAACACACTACACTAATATAAGATGTTAATAATAGGGGAAAACTAGGTATGAGGGGTATGTATTGGAATTCTCTGTACTATCTGCTGAATTTTGTAAATCTAAAATTAAACTTAAAAATAGTCTATTAAAAATATATTTACATACATTTTGAAGCAGGGTCTTGCTCTGTTGCCCAGGCTGGAGTGCGGTGGTGCCATCACAACTCAAGTGACCCTTCCACCTCAGCCTCCCAGGTAGCTGGGACTACAGGTGCCCACCACCACGTCCAGGTAATTTTTTGTAGAGATGGGATCTTGCCATGTGGCCTGGGCTGATCTCAAACTCTTGACCTCAAGCAGTCAGCCCACCTCAGCCTCCCAAAGTGATGGCATTACAGGCATGAACCACTGTGCTCAGCCTCGCATTTTTGAAAAATAATAATTAGGCCGGGCACGGTGGCTCACACCTGTAATCCCAGCACTTTGGGAGGCCAAGGTGGGTGGATCACGAGGTCAGAAGTTCAAGAGCAGCCTGGCCAATATGGTGAAACCCCGTGTCTACTAAAATTACAAAAATTAGCCAGGTGTGGTGGCGGGTGCCTGTAATTCCAGCTACTCAGGAGGCTGAAGCAGAAGAATCGCTTGAACCCGGGAGGCAGAGGTTGCAATGAGCCGAGATCATGCCACTGCACTCCAACCTGAGCGACAGAGTGAGACTCCATCTCAAAAAATAAAATAAAATATGGAATGGAATGGAATGGAATGGAATAGAATAGGAGGGGGCACTAGGGCAAAGGATTCTCATTTCATTATTTCTTTTAATAATCCATATGAGGCCGGGTGCAGTGGCTCGTGCCTGTAATCCCAGCACTTTGGGAGGCCGAGGCAGATGGATCACCTGAGGTCAGGAGTTTGAGACCAGCCTCACCAACATGGAGAAACCCTGTCTCTACTAAAAGTACAAAATCAGCCTGGCTTGGTGGCACATGCCTGTAATCCCAGCTACTTGGAAGGCTGAGGCAGAAGAATCGCTTGAACCCGGGAGGTGGAGGTTGCAGTGAGCTGAGATCATGCCTTTGCACTCCCGACTGGGCAACAAAGCAAGACTCCGTCTCAAAAAAAAATAAAAATGAAAATAAAAATAATCCATAGGAATTTTGCACCCTCTTCCACAAGCATCAGTGTTGATTTTTTCTAATAATAATGTTTCCAGCCAGGTGCAGTGGCTCAGGCCTGTAATCTCAGCACTTTGGGAGGCCAAGGCAGGTGGATCACTTGAGGCCAGGAGTTAGACCAGCCTGAGCAACATGGAGAAACCTCATCACTATTAAAACTACAAAAATTAGCCAGATGTGGTGGTGTGTGCCTGTGGATCCAGCTACCTGGGAGGCTGAGGCAGGAGGATCACTTGAATCCAGGAGGCGGAGGTTGTAGTGGGCCGAGACCGTGCCACTGCACTCCAATCTGAGAAACAGAGTGAGACTTTGTCTCTAAATAAATAAATAAATAGTTTTCCTCTCTCTAAAAAATCACTAAGAACAAATGAGCTTTCCAGAAATATGCTCCAGGTTTAGCCAGAGACTTCCCATTCCCCCTTGCATGTGGGTCCCAAATGGCTGGGGGAGAAGACCGTCATTTCCACAGGGCATTTCAGCCAATTACTCCAATCCTAAACTTTAGGATTGGGTAACAAATTCAAGATGTAACCAGACTCGGACAATAGGGAATGGTGAGGCCTGTGACAAACTAGAGAACACATGGCCTATTTAAAAAGGGGGAATGCTACCCAACTCCAGCTTACCTCCTATGGGGATGAAAAGCCCACTAGACCTTTACTTTTTCAGAAGAAATCAAAGATGCAGAGTTTCATTTGAAATCTCTGCATTTTTAAATGTTAGCAACTAACTAAAACTTAAAAAAAAACCCACGGTGAGTGACACATCCATGTGCTGGTTTGGCCCATGGGCCACCAACTTGCAAACATGGCTCTGCATATGACTGAAAGTAATGCCCACCCCCCTTTGTTTTGAGTTTCCTTCTTAAATGTCTTACCATTTCTTGTCATTTCAATATCAGATTGGAGTCTAACTCACAAGCCCTGAGGTAGGGGCCTCTTTAGAGGGAGATTAGTTATAAAAAGTTATTACTGCAGTTCTAAGCACTAGACATAATTAATAAATTCATAACAATAAATAATATATTTTTAAAGACTCTGTTTCAAAAAAACAGAGAGTTGCCCAGGCTTGAGTGCTCCAGCGTGATCACAGCTCACCACAGCCTCGAACTCCTGGGCTCGAGCAATTCTCCCACCTCAGCCTCCCAAGTAGCTGGGAGAAGAAAGCACCACCATGCGAACTAATTTTTTAATTTTTTAGTAGAGATAGGTTCTTGCTATGTTGCCCAGGCTGGTCTCAAATTTGTATGGTCAGCTGATCCTCTGGACTCCTAAAGTGCTGCGATTACAGGTGTATGAGCCACTACACCCAGTCGATAAATTTTTTTTGTTTTTTTTTTTTGAGACAGAGTCTTGCTCTGTCGCC